CTTATTATAATAGTACAAAAGGCGGAACAGACACTTTTGATTTTTTGTGCAAAAGCTATTCGACGTGTAGAAAAACGATGCGATGGACAATGAGGCTTTTTTTGGCATGATTGATCAAGCAGTTGTTAACAGCAATATTTTATATAATCTGAATGATAGAAATAATGCGATGGAAAGATATAATTTTATAAAAAACTTGTTAATTGCGCTAGCAGGTCCGTTAATGCAAAATAGATTACAACAAGGGACCATTAAAAAATATTTAAGACTATCTCGGTTATTCCACGTCAAATCGGGCACCAAAAAAAATCAACATTTTAAATTTTTTTGAAAATTTTTACATACCTTCTACATATAAAAAAATGAGACACGTATTTGGGGAAAAAATTAAAAAAATGTTTTCACGAAGTTATGCTTACCTTTAAGTTTCAAGAATTGACGAAAAACGTGGCTCGTTTGTATATTCAAATGATTGTACCGCCGAAATGGTAAGTCATACGAAAAAAATGTAAGAGATCAGTTTTCAAGATTATAAATTGTTCTATTTTTTGGTTATTTTTAAATATACATTTGTTTTGAATAAATACTTTTTTTTATTGTTTATAATTTTTAAATGCATTTTTTGTCATCAACTCACCAACTTACAGTTTCAAAAAATAATTCATCATATTTGTTCTTTAATTTTGAAGTAATTCTGAAAATTTCAAAATGGAACTCGAATGGCTTAAATAGATAATAAATTCTTTAATATCAACCGTGCGGCGCGGTGGAGTTCCAACGCACGGGCTGGAGCGGCGATCACGACGACGGCAGATGTTTTGTATATCGTTGAAACTTTATTTATAAAGGATTTTTGGGGTCATCAACCAACTTACAGAGTTTCTGATAAAAAATTCATCATATTTGCTCTTCAATTTTAAAACTCGAATGGATTGTATATTTTAAAAATTCTTTAAGATACCGCGTGGCATACTAACGCGCGGCGCAAGACATCGTCATCGCGCTTACGCAAAGCATGTATTATAGAAATAGCACAAAGAAAGTAAAGCGAAAGAAGCATAACACAAATATAAATTATTAACATACATGTATTTTTTTTTTTAAATATATTTACAATAGTCGACGTAGAAGCTGATGATGTTATTTTTATTTTTATTTTTCCGTGTTTTCTTGGAATGAATGAATGATGTTTTAAAGTACCAGGAATCATCTTTGCTTTTCGAAAACGATCTTCCAGTTCAAGCATTTCAGTTTTGTATTCTTGAATAGAAAAAAATTTTGTATTAATATTTACGATGTTTTTGTTAACCCACAAGAAAAATTTTTTAGGTGTATTTATTGGATCGTTCACATTCTGCAAACTGGCCTTTGCTGCTAATCTTTTAATCCTCCTAGACCGTCGCAAGGTCCTTTCCCATGCGATGTAGCGAAAAAGTGCCATTCTGTCATTACATTAAAATCACGTTTATGATAATAAAGATTTACAAAATTTTTTTTATTTTTATATTGCGTACAAAACATTTACTGTCGTCGTGATCGCCGCTCCAGCCCATGCGTTGGAACGCCGCCGCGCCGCACGGATATATAAAAAATTTATTATCTATATAATTCTGTTACGTCCAAACCCTTGGAAAATTTTTAATTGTTAGTGATCCTCTCGGAGAATGAAAGGAGCGGGAA